ACGAGCTTAGTCGACCGAGCGGAAAGCCCTTTATCTTTAGAATACTTAAGTAGAGCTTAAGTATCTCCTATAGAACATACTCCTTAGAATCTATATATATTAGCAAATAATTTAAGATCTATTATATACGTTCGCTAGTATAAACGTATCCTACTTTACGTAAGCTTCTATAAGACTATTAAAGTAGGCCTTATTAATTAGATACTTAATACTTAGCCTTCCCTCCTTCTCTACCTAGTTATAGCGATAGCTTAGTATACTACCTCTTACGTGCGGTCTATTAGATTATCTTCGTACGGGGTGCTTATTCTATATATATACGAACGAGGCTAGTTCTTTTCGTATAATAGGTATATAGATATACTTTATAGTAATGCGGTTAGCCTTCTTTACTTTATAAAACTACCCCTTCTTCTTTAATATTATAAAGAAGCCCTATAATATTAAGATTAATTAGCCTAACCCGTATAATTAGATTCGGATATAACGGGAGCGTTGCTAAAGTATATATAAATAATATGCTCTATATACTTATATACTATACCTTAAACCTTCCTCGTATAAGCTAGCTCTACTATACCTCGATACGGATATTAGTAGTGCTTATTCTAAACATAAAGTAGCGGCGAAAGCGTACTTTACGCCTACGAATAATCCTTACGTATTAGTATTAAGCCTACGCTATAAGGAGTGTCTCTTTACCCTTATCTATCCGAATAATACGAGGTACTCTTATAAGCTTTTTATAAGCTTTCGTAAAGTTAGATAGTATAGATACTATTATACGGGTAGAGGGTCTAAGATAGGTATATAGAATAAACCGTATATCTGTATTAATAGTAGTATAGATCTAAAAGCTATAGTCCTTAAGTTTATAGTATATATCTATACTCTAGACTATATTAGGGCTAGGCGTAATATACTTCCTACGGCGACGTATAAACTTCGTAGCCCTATTATACGGGCTAGCGGAATAGACCTCGCGGGCTATCTCGTATAGTCGCTTCCTACGATATAGTAGCATATTAGTAAATCCCTTTCTACCCTATAGATATATATCGTATAAATATACTAACCTACTAAGCGTAAGCCGCGTACGATCGGTTATACGGAAGTATATTTATAGTAATATTATTCTAT